AAAAAAAAAAAAAAAAAAAAAAAAAAAAAAAAAAAAAGATTCCTTGTGGCAACACATTCATTTTTTTTAAAAAATTAAGTATTAAACAGAAATGGCTGCTGACAGCTCTCCCCTCCATATAATCAATGAGAAAACTGGCAAAATTTGTCACGATTAACTTAAGAACTCTGAATTAAAGGGATATAACAATCTAAGGGTCATTTATTAAAAAAAAAAAAAAAAGAATGGATCTTGATAAGAACTGTGAGCTTATGGCATTTTAACTTACCCAAGTCCCATTCCCTTCCCTAGTTGCACCAAGAGCTCAGCAGTAAGGAGCCAGCGGCAGCAGCAGGCAGGAGGAGGGGAGTCTTCCACAGCAGCAGCACCTGCATTTGGAAAAGAGAAAGGATCTTGACTCAATAAGCACAACTTCACCTAAGAAACTAGAAAGATGAGAGAAAACTAAACTCAAAGCAAGCAGAACAGATTATTCCAGCAAAAATAAAATAACAGAAAAGCACAATCAAAAGCTAATTCCTTGCAAAGATAACTGATAAACCCTTCCCTATACTGACAAAGAAAAAAAGACTCAAATTACTAAAATTAGGAATGAAAGTGAGGATGTTATTACCAAACTTACAAAAATAAGGATTATAAGGAAACACTAAGGATAATTTTATTTCAACAGATTAAACTAGATGCAATGAGCAAAACCCTCCAAATAGGCACAACTGAAAATGGCTCAAGGAAAACTAGAAAATCTGATTACACCTAAAATAAGAAAAGATATTCAGTCATAATCAAAAATTTTTTCCATTAGAAAAAGTTCAGGACCAGATGGCTTCCCTGGCAAATCCCATCATGTGTTTAAAGAACTAACACCAATTCTTCACTACCTCCTCCAAATAGCAGATGAGAAAGAATGGTCCCACTTCATTCTATGAAGCCAGCAGTACCCTGATACAAAAGCAGAGGCAAACCTCACAGGAAAACTACAGACCAGTATCTCTTATGGGCACAGATGCAAAATTCCACAACAAAAAACTAGCAAACAAAATTGAACAATGCATAAAATGGATTACATAGCACAACCAAGTGGAATTTATCCAATAATGCAAGGTTGGTTCAAGAAAAATCAATTCAATACACAGTCAATCAATCCAATATTATATTAATGCAAAGGACAAAAATATTTTTTGTTGTTTCACACTTCACAAATGTCTATCTTTAACTTCCCTTCTACTTCCTGCTAATGTCTCAATTTGGACACTTATATGATCAATTTTCAGTCTTTATTCTTTCAAATAGCTAACACTAACAGTATAAATTTCTCTCCAAGAGCCAGGCATGGTTGCTCATGCCTATAATCTGAGCCACTTAGGAGGGTAAGGCAGAAGGATGGAAAGTTTAAGGACAGCCTGGGCAACCTAGCAAGAACCTGTGTCAAAATAAAAAATGTAAAAGGGCTAAGGATGTAGCTCACTGGTAGCACACTCATGAGTTCAATTCCCAGTACTACAAAGAAAAAAGAAGAGAAAAACTTCCTCCAAATACTGCACATTCTACTGTCTTTTATTTACATTGTTAGTCATTCAATTCAATTTCCATTGTAATTTCCTCTGATTTGAATTATTTTTAAAATTTTCAAATGTCAGGGAGATAAGCTTGCTTTCTCTGTTCTTTTATTATTGATTTCTGACTTTGCTACTTAGAGAAAATGATCTGAAAGAATTTGAGATTTATTTTGTGACCAAACAAGGAGAGATCTGAGGAATGTTTCAGGTATTTCAGGAGAGTACGTATCCCTTAATTGGTTGCCATTTTATTTGTGTGACCAAGAAATAGAACTTGAAGCAAACATCACTGAAATCTTGAGTAACTGTGTGTATGAATTTGATCAATTACCAGAAAAGGAACATTAAAATAGTTCATATGATTAGAGATTTTTCAATTTCCCTTCTGAACCAATGTTTTCAGTATTCTATAACATTATAGTATTCTATAATATTCAGTATTCTATAGCATAGTATAATATTCAGTATTCTATAGTATTATGCATATATTTTTTCTATGTGTTCTAAGATTTAGTTATTAGATAAAGTCATGTACTGCTTAACAATGGTAGTGGTCCCCTCAGATTATAATGGAGCTGAGTCAGACATGGTAGCAAGCACCTCCAGCGCCAACTAGCTATTCAGAAGGCTGAGGCAGGAGGGTCCCTGGGACCTAAGAGTTGGGAGACCAATATGGTCAACATGGCAAAACCCCATCTGAAAAAACACATCAGTTTATAATGGAACTGAAAGTTCCCAGTGCCTAGTAATGCAGCAGCCATCATAATGTAGGTAAAAGTACAGTACGGACAGTTAAACATAGTACACATCTCTCATGATAATAAAGGACTATGCTGTGGGTTTATGTATTTACTCTTCCATACTGCCACCACTACAAACTGTAAAGCAGCCTATGGTAGGGCTTCAGGAGTATTCCAGGAGACAGCATTGTCATAATGGAAGGGGACATCCCTCTGTGAGGACCTTCAGGGGGACAGAGGTAAAGGTGCAGGACAGTGGTGCTAGTGATTCTGACCCTGGGCAAGCCTAGACTAATATGTTTGTATTTTTAACAAAGGTTTCAAAATCCTCAGTAGCATGGGAACTAGCAGATAGAATCAACAACTGGGATCTCATCTTACTAAAAAGCTTCTGTACTTCAAAAGAAACCATTAGCAGAACTAAGAGACAATCTACAATGTGGGAAAAAATTTTTACCAGCTGTACCTCAGACAAAGGACTATTATCAAGGATATATAAAGAACTCAAAACAATCAGTCCCCCAAATATAAAGACCCGATTCAAAAATGGGCATCCGAAATGAACAGACATTTCTCGTACAAAGAAGTAAAAGCAGCAAGAAAATATATGAAAAAATGTTCCACATCACTGGTCATTCGAGAGATGCAGATGAAAACAACACTGAGATTCCACCTCACCCCACAAAGAATGGCTGCTATCAAGAAATCACACAATAACAAATGTTGGCGGGGTTGTGGGGAGAAAGGAACCCTCCTCCATTGTTGGTGGGAGTGCAGA